GGAAGTGGAGACAGTCAGAGCGTCACCTTGGAAACGGTGCCTCTTAGGGGTTTTGTTTATTCTTCTGTGTTTTGAGCACCGGGCTCTGCTCGGGCGTTCTCCGCGTGTGCTGTCACTCACCCTCCGTGGCGGACGAAGAGCGAAGCGTGTGCACGTGTGGGCACGTGCGCACAGAGCAGAAATGCCGCGGCCCCCGTCGGGGCTTCTGCGTGGGTGAGGCGGTCCCACCAGCAGTCCCGCCAGCAGTCCCCGCTGACCTCCTGGGAGGGGTTGATGACACCGAGGCACTGTTGACGAGCCCGGACGGAGAATAGAAGCGATTCTCGAGCGGCCGCCCTGCAGCCTCTGCTGCGTGCGGTCCTCGGTTCTGCTCTGTCCCTGCCTGCGTGGGCGGCCTGGGAGCAGGAGGCTGGCGGCGCCAGGGGATCGGGACTGCGGTGCAAAGCCCTCCACCCAGCACACGTCCAAGGAGCCAGCAGCACCCTGGGGCCCGGACCCGCAGCCAGGGAGGTGACTCAAGGCTCCTGGTCTGCCTTGTATTTGGGGAAGGAGGCACCATCAAGAACACCCTCAGGAGATGAACTTGCTCCTCAGCCCACGCTTCTAGACTTTGGGATGCATGAAACATGAATTCTAGGGCCCCGTCTCCCGGAATCCACTTCACTGGGGCCCCGGGAGTCGGCCTTTAGCCCACTCTCCACAAGGGTGAGGCAGGTGGTCGGCGGGCCTCGCTTTCAGAAATGCTGGTTTGCAGAGACAACAGGCTTCCAGGTGACCAGGCCTAGCGCCTGAAGCCCGCGGTGGTCAAGGGCCTGAGCAAGGCCAAGGGGAAGGGCAGGGGCGTCGCTATGGGGGAGGGGAGGGTGGGAACGTGAGCTCAGTGAAAGGGCGGCCAGGTGTGACCGGGGCACTGCGAGAGAGAAAGAGAGAGAGAGAGAGAGAGAGAGAGAGAGAGAGCCAGAGCAAGCGCCAGCTCTGGGGGAGCAGCCGGCGGAAACCCAGCAAACACCGTCTCCTCTGGACGGGCAACTCCCTGCCAGGGGGGCACCTTCTCCAGCTAGGACCCAGCCCCTGCTGCCTTCAGACCATCAGAGGGCAGGGGTCGGTCCCCAGGTGTGGACTGGATCTTCCCGTGGCCTCTCAGACTGGCCACCTTGCTTCCCTACAGGATGCGTTCGCTGAGTCTCTCAAAGCCCACCCTGCAGAGCCTGGGAGACCCTGCCCCTCCCTGGGACGGACGCCCGGAGCAATGCGGCTGCGTCCGCAGCCGTGATTTGAACCTGGGAGACGTGGTCTCGTATGCAGGCCCTGGCCCCAGTGTGTCTGCAACTTTGGCCACATTCCGCCTCCCCAAGGCTCCACCTCCGCGTCAGTGGAGCAGAATGCTGAAGCCAGCTTCACACCTGCGTCAACGCAGAGAGGACCCGAACCACCGTACCGCCCTGCAAATGGGGCACGAGCGCTCACTGGGGACCTGCCACCTACCACCTGCCACCTGCTAGAGCGTGTGGCTTCTCCACGCAGCCACAACAAGCCTTCCTAAAGCCGATTTTAATCCGGAACCCTGGCCTGGAATGAAGTCCCCGGTGCCCCTTCCGACTGAGCTGTTCTCTTCCCGCCTCCTCTGCGTCCGGATCTTCCCGATGGGACGCTGCTTCAGCGGTCCCCTCGCTGGTCACCAGCTCCCGACTACGAGATACATTCTGATTTCCGTTCTTCACGCACAGGCCCGTGAGGTGCAGCTAGAGCAACCTTTCCAGCAGCCTGCACCCCCCCACCCCACCCCCGGCCCCGTTCGGCCTTCCAGTCCCCAGAGCACAAGACAGGCGCGCAGACGTGACCGTCCCCCCCCACCCCCCGCAGCTGGCAGGGCTCCGCTCCGCAGCACCGCCCCGGCCGCACGGCCCAGGACCTCCTCCCCTAAAGTTGGGTCCGACTCACAACTGCCCACAGCTGGACCTAAGACACAAAAACAAACTAAGCAAACACCTAGAACAGGAACAGAATCCCAGAAATGGAGACCACGTGGAGGGTTATCGGCGGGTAGAGGGAGGGGGAGAATGGGGGTGAAGGTACAGAGAATAAGGAGCATAGATGGTAGGTACAAAATAGACAGGGGGAGGGCAAGAATAATACAGGAAATGCAGAAGCCAAAGAACTTTCATGCACAACCCATGGAGGTGAACTGAAGGGAGGGGAGGAATGCTGGAGGGAGGGGGTGCAGGGTGGAGGGGATAAAGGGAAGAAAACATGGGCCAACTGTAATAGCATAATCAATAAAATATACTAATAAAATAAAATAAGATAGTTGTCCTAGAACTGTCGGAAGATTGAGTGGTCTGTCGCACGGAAAGCACACAGTAGGATATCCGGCACACAGTAGGTGCACTCACTCGGCCCCTCCCAATCTCCTCTCCTTAACCTGGGCTCTCAGGACGTTTCCCGAGAAACCTCCTCCGTGGTGGGTCTCACTTCGGCGGGCATCACAGCACCTGGGGGGCTCCTGCAAACACAGATGCTGGGCCCCTGCTCAGAGAGCCGGGTTCAGGGGGTCGGGTGGGCCCCGGGAACTGCATGTCCAGCAAGCCCCCAGGACAGGCTGAGGCTTGGGTCCCGTCACCTCGCTCTGAAAGCTGCTGCTCCACTACTCCGTCCTCGGAGGGCCCCGGGGTCTCCCGCGCGGGGCCAGAGAAGAGTAGCAGAGAGCCGCTGTGCGAACCAGCGGCGTGTGGTGGTGCCCATCACCTTATAAACAGGTTACAGGGCGATCTTTCCTGAACGTCGGTTTGTGATTAGTGTCCGCAGTTTCGAGGATGTGACGCGAGGAATCCCAGAATACAAATCAGAACACCCAGGATTCTTAACCTTCCAGCTCTAAGAACTCGAGCCCCCAAAGTCCCTGTCCCCCGTTTCCTCCTCTGTGAACAGTGCACCCCGAGAAGGCCTCACTGGGGCGGAAGATAGTGGGGCGACCTAGCTGAAAATGCACGGTAACTCGTGGCTGCATAAATGCACGCCATCAGTGTCGGCTCCGGGCGGCCGGGCTCCTTGGGGTCTCGGCTCCCTGCCATGTGCGGCCTCAGCGGTTTCTGGGACCGCTGAGACACTGCAGAGCTGAGCACGCTCCCAGCCCGAAGGCGCGGGAGCCCAACCCTGTAAGCCAAACGGGCTCACACGATAAAGATGCGGACCCCTGCACATTTCAGGGCGTCCGGCCACGGGAGCGTGCAGTCGTAAGGCAGGAGGCCTACAGAGAACAGGGAGCAGACCAGGCCTGGGAACTGTTGGGACACAAAGGTATGATAAAGAAAGTGATTAGGACAATTTGCATGGTCTGTGGGAGCTCCTTCAGGGCTAAGATTACTCGTGAGTCCCGGCCGGGCTGCAGAATGTCACGCGGGAGCATCAGGGGGATGAACTTGGGAACCTCCAGAGCAGCGGCTCTCGACCTGGGCTGCCTGGGAGAACCCCGCAGGGTGGCAGCACTCGGGGCGCCCAGGTCTGGGCCCTGCTCGAAAGCTTCCCGTCTGGTGGGCCCGGGATGAGGCTCAGACACAGGCGTTTTGCAGGAGCCCCCAAGGCGTTCCTGGGCGCCAGCGGGGTTGAGGAGGACTGTTCCGACATGCGACCATTCGCGGCGGTCGGTCACCTTCACTTGGAGGACCCTGTACGCCTGACACGTATACGTAATGGATGTCAAACATTTCTCAATAAAACTGAAAAAGACACACAAAGTTTAAGTATTGAGAAAAGCACATATGGTACATGGATCTTTCTAGAAGCCTCATCTATTGTAGAATTACCAGAAGCTGCTAAAAACCCAGATGTCTCTCAGCTGGTAGAGGTGTCGACGCCTGCGGCACAGCCGCAGCCACCCCAGCCGATGCACGCAACACCGACAGGGGACGGGACCGACCGCAGCGACGGGGGCGAGGCTCAAAGGCACAGTCTGCGTGAGAGGAGTCGGACACAGAGGGCGGCGTGGTGTGCGGGGCCATTTCTCTGACGCGCTGGAGAGGGCCAAACTGGAGTGACAGGAAGTAGCTGAGGAGCTGCCCGGGGCCGGCGGTGAGGGGCAACGGGACCGCCGAGGGGCCTGAGGGGGTTTGGGGGCCGGGGGGGGGGGGGGTCATGGGCCTGTTCTCTGTCTTAACTCTGGTGCTGGGTAAATGGCTGCATGCCACACATTCAAAGGGACGGCCTTCATTCTCTGTAAATCCTACCTCGTAATAAAAAATAAAAAAGCTCAGGGTGAAGGGGCAAACAGAGACAAAGGGTGAACAGTGGCTTCGTTCCAGTGAAAGTCATTGTGTGTCTGAGGGCAGGACGCAGCTCCCAGGGCAGTGGGGTCGGGCTCCGGCAGCCTGGGGGGAGGTGGTGCCGGGAGACAATGCCCAGCGGGCCCCTCACAAGTCCCCGGTCCTGCCGTCCGAGGCCTGGGAGCTGGGAGCGAGCAGGGCGGCACCTGCGCACCGAGACCCACGCTGGCTCCGGGTTAAAGATTCTGGGCTGGGAGCTTCAAAGAGACCCACCCGGCTTCCAGCCTCGCCCAGACCTCCATGGCTCTGTCCCTTCCTCCTGTTACCGTGGCGTTTGAAACGGCTCCGGACGTTTGTGCGGTCCCGGAGGGCGCGTTCGAAGAGCAGATCCCGGGGTTTGCTGGGGGCGGGCGGGGTGGGGCAGAGCCAGGCGAGGTCCCTGGAGAAGGGGCACGGCGGGCTCCCCTTCCGGGGGCGTGTCTCTGAGCAGCGTGAAGCCGCGCAGTTCTACCATCTGCCTGCAAAGCCGCCCTTCCTCCGAGGGGTCTCTGGCATCTGTGAGTCCCTGACGTTTTCGTAGAATTCCACCTTAAGACGAGCTGGAGGCGCTCGCGGCCAGGGTCTCCTCGAGGAGCGGCTCCGCTCCCACGATGACACGCTGCAGCTGGAGCCTGCACACACACATCTGGACGCCACATGTCGGCCGCCGCCGCCGCCGCCGCATAAAAGGGCCCGGCCAGCAGGCCGCGGGCCACACCTCTCGCCAGCAGCCCGGGCAGCATGACCCTCGCTCCTCTGTGGGTGTTTCTGCCGCTGGTCGCCGTGGCCCGGGGCCAGTACGGCGACTACGGCTACCCGTACCAGCAGTACCGCGACTACGGCGACGACGGCTGGGTGAACCTGAACCGGCAGGGCTTCAGCTTCCAGTGCCCGCAGGGGCAGGTGGTGGTGGCCGTGAGGAGCATCTTCAGCAAGAAGGAGGGCTCGGACCGCCAGTGGAACTACGCGTGCATGCCCACGCCCCAGCGGCTGGGGCAGCCCACCGAGTGCTGGTGGGAGGAGATCAACAGGGCTGGCATGCAGTGGTAAGGGGCGCAGGCGACACCGCTGCACTTGGGTAAGGGGGCGCCGCTGCGCCTGGCCTGGGACGGTCACTGCAGATCCCTGCCCCTTGGGGCTGCCTGGCCCTCAGGGAACAGCACCCACGAACGCCTGGGCCAGTCCCGCTGGGAACCGGACCGCTGGGGCTCTGGGTGGGGCAAGCCAGCTCCAGTCTGGGGACCAAATCCCAGGACTGGGGGTTGGGGGGCATCCGAGGCAGGTGGGCTCCTCTGCGGCCCTGCACCTCCCAGAAGCAGCCCAGCCCTCTGTGCAGTCCAGGGACTCGTGAGGGTCTGGGACATGTTTCCCAGGCCGCAAAGGGTAAGCACAGAGATCGCAGATGTTCGAGAAACATACAACAATTGAACACAGTTGTGGCACCCAAACGGCACTGTAGTCCTGGAGCCATTTACTTTCACCACTTCACAAAGGCATGGGCTCTGGGGGGAAGGGACGGCCGGGCCCTGGGCACAGACAGCCGTAGACACGCTGGTGTGCAGCCGTGAGTCGGGGGAGAAGACGAGGCAAGGAGAGGCGCAGTGGAATAGCCCCCTGCGGCCCCATTCCATGCACGCGCTTGTCACTAGCGTGGGGAGCCCTCCCTCCGTCCTGGGAGACAGCGTCCCAGGGGCTCCTAGGGCGGCGTGCTGGTCTCCCCTGCGCTGGTCTCCCCTGCAGGGGCTCGGCCCCAGCCAACGGCGTGGAGGTGGCCCCAGCCTGCGCTCCCCTGGGGGGTGGGACTGCCCAGCCCCAAACGTGGTCAGGAGTCCATCCCAGTAGCGACCGACCATCACTGGGTGTTCACGGCAGCCTGGACGGAGGCAGGACCACCTGGACAGAGGCGGGCGGGGGTGGGGGCGGACCCCACCCAGAAGCCCGGCTGACGTGCTCAGGTGGGGTCGTGGACTTGGGGGTGGTCAGGCGTGGGACCTGGGGGCCACACCACCAGCAGACAGGACAGTCACGTGCCATCCAGGGGAAAGACGCTGGTGGGTGCAGGGGCCAGGCAGGGGAGGGGACCTCTGCGTCATGGGAACGGCGGCCACTCATTGGGCGCCCGCCCTGAGCGGGCACCACAGCGAGTGCTCTGCGCGGGTTATCTCACTCCGTGCTCCGCTCAGGTCTGTGGGCCACTCCCAGGTGAGACAGACAGCGGTACAGAGATCGGGGGGGCCCCCAGCTGGGAAGTGGGGGAGGGGAGAGCCAGGATCTGGGCCCAGCGAACCTTAACCACAAAGCATTGGCACCTCACCACAGCGGGGGGCTGCTGAGGGCCCGCTGCCTGCGCCCTCTGTGGGCTCCGCTGGCAGAGCCCAGGCCGCAGGACAAGGCCAAAGCCACAGGACTGGATGGACTCGGGCGGCGCTCCTCCTGGTCGGGGGGGGGGGGGGTGGGTGGGCCTGCAGGGTCACACCCAAGCCTCAGTCTGGAGGGCCGGGGACCAGCTTGGGGACCATGACTGGGGAGGGGCTCAGCCAGCCTGTGGGAGGGTGGGGAGACAGTCCCACATGCAGTAAAGGGGTGGGGGGCGCCCTTTACTGGGCCGGCCTCATCCACCCCCACTGGCCTGGTGAGCAGGCTCCCTTACCCAACCCCTGCTGCCGGCTGTCTGGTCAGGGACCAGCCTGGCCTCAGGGGCGGACAGTCTCCAGCCACTCCCCGAAGCGGGGCCCGCGGCCTGGCGTGGAGCCCGGCCTGACCTAGTTAAACTGCCCCTCCTGCCCCCCCACCCCCACCTAGGGGGTCTTCTGTGGGCGGGGCCCTTTTCCAAAGGCCCTTTTTGGAGCCACAGTCAAGGCGTGTCCAGAGACGGGTCCTCCACCCCAAGGAGCCCCGGGCTCTGAGCCGGGGGCCCGGATTAGGACCCTGGTCCAGTGTGGCCTTGGGCCTGGGGTTCAGCCCCGTCGGCTCGCAGCTGGCTTGGAAAAGGAACAGCCAGACAGGCGCGGTCTCGGGGGACACGCCTCCAGCGCTCTGTGCTCTGCTTGGCCCCGATCGTGCACTTGGACTTCTCCTGCACCCTGCGGCCCTTCTCGCTCCTCTGTTTAGAGGAGGTGCAGGATGTTTACTTTCAAACCTGACAACTTGCGACGGGTGTGTGTCGTTAACTCCCAAACAAAGCGAAGGAAAGCGGGAGAGACAGGGGGTGCGAGTGACATCACTTTGTTTGGCCCAGGCCAAGCTGACAGGCAAGATCTCTCTGCCCCTCCTCCTCCTCCACACCTCGGGGTTTGCAGAGTGCGAGGGGCCCCTCCCCTTTCCTCCCCTCTGCTAATTGCAGAGTCCGAAATGCACAGCCACGAAAAGCAGCTCCTTCACAGTGGGACCCGGCTGCCCCGGGGCCCATATCAGAGGCTTTTTTTAAAGGTAATTATTGCTTTGAGTTTAGACTCCAGTCCCAGCGAAAAGTCTGGGAGGAAAGAAATTGCTCGTTGGCTAGGAAACAATTATCTCTTCCCGTCCAGGCTCGTAATCCGTTCTGCGGGAAGAGCGGAGGGTTTTGTGTGATTTGGCCGCCTCGTAAAACCAAATTAGCCTGCAGGTTTCTGTTAAGGAGTGGGGGAGGAGTCTTAGAAACTGGCGAGAAGCAGCCCAGCGCGATTGCAGGGCCAAGCAGAGCACAGGGCACGGGAGGCGGGGCGCCTCCTGGGATCACACGGCCCGACAGATCGCTCTCCGAGGTTTGACGGCAGAACGTGGGGTCTGCCACGGGCACTGGCTCGGTGGAGCACAGTCTCCTAAAGGCGTCCCCATCGCGGCCGGGGGCCGGAACACAGCTGTCTGCCGCGGCAGCTCCTCGGAAATCCGGGTTCTGAGGCGCGCACGCTGGCTCAGCACCAACAGCTGCCGGGGGGGTGGGGGGCGGGTGGGGGGCGTGACCTGGGTCCCAGGGGCAGCGCTGTGCCACCCCGGGGCGTGCCACGGGTGCCGACGGGGAATCTGCTCTGCCTCGGGGGGCGCAGACTGCAGGGCTCCTGGGTCCTGCGTGGAAGAAGGAGAGGCTGGAATTTTCTAGAGAGGGCAAGCTCTTGTGTCTCAGAATCAGGAAACTTGCTTCACAGCTCCTGTTTCCGTCACCTTGTAGCTCTGTGGCCTTGGGTACTTGGGTCCTCGTTCCGGGGGGCCTGGAGGGGAAGGGGAGGGGAGGGGAGGGGAAGGAAGGTGCGACTCCCGCTTCAGAAGCTGCTGGGGGCGCGGCAGGGTCGCTCCCAGGAGAAAGAGCAGGAGACTCTGAAACAAGCCGAAGTCTAAGCCGAGTGCCTGCGAAGGGGTTAAGCAAAAAACGACCCAGAAAACCCTCGTGGACAGCGGTGAGGGGGTGACCAGAGGGAAGGGGGCGGGGGGGCAGAAGAGGGGGACAGACGGTGACGGACGGAGGCTGGACGGGGCGGTGAACACACACCACAGTGCACAGGTGGTGTGCCACAGACTCGTACGCCAGAAACCTGCATCATTTGTTAATCAGTGTCACCCCAATACATTCAATAAAAAGTTTTTAAAAAGAGACACTTCGATGTCCCCAGAATTCCAAGGCTAAAACCAATCTCCATGAATGCTGTGGAAGCAACTAACAAGTGTCTGCTACAAAGAAATTTGGTAAATACTGCAGAAATAAATAAACGAACAAATTAATCAATAAATCGCGTGGGGGAGCTTTGCAAGAACGGGTCCTGGCCGTGCCTGCGAGGACGACAGGGTCACTCCCCCTGCAGGGGCGCGCTCCACCTGGACCCTGGTCAGACGTGAGCATCCCCGTCAGTGAGAGATGGCTGCGGAGTCAGGGCACCGCCACACGCGTGTGTGCACGTGCTCCCGTGTTTCTTTGCGGTATCCTGGAATCTCAGAGAGACCGTGAACTCGGGAGTCCGACGCGGCAATTCCCGAACGGCAGCGCCACTGCGGCCCCCAGGCAAGGCCTGCCGACGCTCTAACCCTCCGTTCTGCCTCCAGCAAACCAAGTCCCCGGGACCGCGGCCCCGAACCGAGGTGCCCTGAGCGGTCCCGCGCTGACTCATCCCCCATCCCGCGCTGGCCGGACCCCAGCACCAGGCACCGTGACGAATGGGAGCTGAAGATGAGATCATCTGCCCCCTGCAAGGACTTCGCCGCCTCCCGGGGCGATGAGTCACCCGGGAGCGTGACCGACGCGGCAGCTGCGCGTCGGCCCCTGAGACAGCCGGCGCCGGGGCCTGACTGCGGCGGGCAGCCGCTCCCGGGAAGCGCATGTGGACGCACGGCTCCCCTGGGACGCAGACCGGGGCCCGGGGTGGCGCTGGCAGAGCAGGCTCACAGTCGCCGTGCGGACTACGTGGGCGTTTGGTGACGATGACAATAAACAATGTATTATGCACTAGAAGGCACTGCCGCCTTGCCTCGTCTTCACAAGAAGTGCAATAAGTTCGTGCTATCATGCCCATTTTGTGGATGAGAAACTGAGGTCATTGGAGGGCGTGGACCCTGCCCAGGGTGACCCGGCAGCACAGCGCACGCCCTGCTCCCCACCTGAGCGTGGACACAGACCCCCACGAAGGTCCCCTTCTGGACGGCGTGGATTCACGGTGTCAGCCGCGTGCACCACCAGCCTCCCAGGCAGGCTCGCCCGCCAGCCCGGGACGGCAGCTCTGCTCCGGGCTCTACCTGCCCCGTCTGTCCTCGGGCCCGGGCATGTGGTGTCTGCATAATCTCCCCAGGGCGGCGTTATCTGGGCTGCCGTGTGAGAGAGGGACACACACACTCCCCGCACAGGACCGGGGGGTCAGCTGCTGGGTTGACGTCGGCGAGGAATTCCCGGAACTTGGACTGCCTCCGGCCCTGGGCGCCCCAGGCATGAGGCCGGCGTATCTCAGTGTTTATTTTTACCTGTGGGAACCTACCCCCGTGGGAACACTGTTCCCCGGGGCCATCTGAGCGCCCAGGACAAACCTAAACAATGGGACATGGCTCTGGAACCTCGGCAGGAACCTTCTGGAAGGGCGGATGCAGAGGATGGCAGGCTCTCAGGGACGGGAGGAGGGAGGCCATGGCGAGCACCTCTTCTCACACACACACACACACACACACGGGCTTTGTCTGTGACCCTCAGAGCTTCTCACTGGTGTCACCTCGTGCTCACGGCTAAAAGCCGTCCCGCGGTCCCAGTCCCCAGGGGTCTGTCCCCCTTGGGCGGCCTCCTGCGGTGTGCGGGGTGGTGAGACTCCCGATGCGACGTGAGCCGTGGCAGCGTGGAGAAGGCCAGACCCACGAGGGCAGAGATCTCAGGTCACACCCTGATCTGCCCAATCGCTCTCCCGTGGCTTCTAGAACTTCTTACAAGTCCCGGGCACGGGGCGTTCGGGCTCGCGCGCACGGCCGACCGAGGACAGAGCCCGCCCCTGGATTCCTCTCTCGGCGCGGAAGCCGGGCACGGGGACGGAAGAGTGGCCGAGAGCACGTCTGTGGAGGGAGGGGCGAGTGAGAGATGAAACGCAGGCCCGAATGGGCACATGCGCACGAATGGGCGAGTGGCCAACAAACGAGTGGAGAGCACACAGGCTTCCCGGCCAGAGACGCGACATGCAGTCAACGTCAGTGTCGCCGTGTCCACGCGATCGTGTCCAGGAACTGAAAGCGACGTCCAGTCCCCGGCAGTTCCACAGCTCACAGGTCGGCGAGGCCCCTCTCGCCTCGCAGCGGCGCGGGCTGCTCCTCACCTTATCGGCGGTGCTTCCTGGAGACTTATCTCTACTTGGAAAACAGGGCTGTGCTCCAGAGGCTGCCAGGCCGCGGCGCACAGGCAGCTGCCCGCCCCGCCCCCCCGCCCCGAGGGACCGAGATCAGTCGCCGGGCGGGCGGGCGGGCGGGCAGGAGGAACCAGGGGTCGCTTGAGACCCACCCTGCGAGGGCTGTGAGGCCTCCCTCTGTGGGGCCCACTGTGGCGACCAGAGACCAGGACGGTCCTCGTCCCAGAAAAGGCCACTCGCCCCGAGAGCCCCCGGGCCTTGGGCAGGAGCGGGAGACAGTGGTCTAGGAGACCGGATGGAGGGAGAGGGGATCACGCTGTTTGGAGTGAGCGCCAAATTAGGAAGGCGCTGTGAAGACACACAGGGACGGCTCCCAAGCCGGCAGCGGCCCAGGCGCAGCAAAAACGTGACAATTCGAGGACCGCAGGGTGGGTCTGGGGCCCAGAGAGGAGGGCGTGGCCTTCTCTGAAGAAGCAGACCCGGGCAGCTAGGGCAGGAAAGGGACCAGGAGGGTGGGCGGCCGAGGAGCTGGGTCGGCCTGGGACGACTCCGCAGCAATGCCCCCACCCTCCGGGACCCAAGGTGGGCTCGGGGGATGGAATCCCGACCCCTCCTCCTGGCCACGTAGAGCCCGCTGGTGGCCGGCGGCCGGAAGGCACCTGGATAAGCCGGGGAAACCCGGGCTGCGCCCCCACCTCCCCCACAGGGTCACGGGGATAAGGCGCTGTGTGCGCACTGGGCTCTGCCTGCCCCGCGGGGTCCAGGGAGCGAGCGTCCTCCTGCTCCGCGCCCAGGGCCCTGCTCCTGACAGAAGACGGGTTCACGCGCAGCTCACCCCTTCATGGCGTTCCTCCTGGTCTTCTGGTTATTGTGACTTCAAGTAAAACGAAGTACATTATCTTCTCTTTTGAGTGGCACGAAGAGCAACACACTCCTGCGTTTGTGTTTGTAAGACTCTAGGTGCCCCTATACCGGCCCACCTAACGTATGCATCCCCCCCCACCTAACCATGTGCCCGATGAGGCCCATCGGGGGCAGCGCGCCCCCAGTCTCCTCCCGTGGAAAGGTTCTGAGCCCTTCGGACGCGACTGGTGAGCACACGTGGTTCCCACAGACGCTACAAAGCCTTTATCGTTTGCCTGACCACGGAATGCATTGTCAGGGGTCGGGGTCAGGGAGAGAGCGGCCTGACTCGGCCTCGGAGGGAGCGGGGCCCCGGGAAGGGGCCGGCGGGGTGTCCCCGTCACACGCTCACGCGGGGTCGCTCTCCCCTCTGCAGGTACCAGACGTGCTCCAACAATGGGCTGGTGGCCGGGTTCCAGAGCCGCTACTTCGAGTCGGTGCTGGACCGGGAGTGGCAGTTCTACTGCTGCCGCTACAGCAAGAGGTGCCCCTATTCCTGCTGGTGAGCCCGGGGCCCCCCTCGGCCCCTCCCAACTCCCCCGGGGGCAGGAGGGGGGCTTGGGGGGAGGGGCGGAGCTCGGGTCTCCGTGTCTGCCTTCGGATAAGCCTGGGACGGTCACGAACACGCTGGAAATGCCACAGCTGGCGTGCAGAAGGAACGAGTCAACCAACCAATCAAATCGAAAAGCCAACCGACCGGCCGGCCAATGGAAAGGCTAGAATAATGTTCACACTGGGAGGGGCTCACAGTCCATCCACCCGGTGCTCCTGCACTTGGGCAGAAAAACAAACCAACAGAACAACAGGGCGAGGCAGTGACCCGCCCAAAGCCACCAGCTATTTGCGGGGCCCGCGGGCTCCGGTCCCTTCCCTCTGTCACGCTAACTTCCCCTCGCGCCTAAGGCTGCTGGACCTGATTGAGAGCCACCTTTTCCTGCAGACCTTCTGGGAAGAAGCCGGCCCTGTCGCAGGTCCCAGGGGGTAACGGAGCGTGCGCTTGCTGGCACACAGCACAGGGGCTGGTGTCTTCTGGAGCAATCCCGAGTCCCAGTCTGAGGATCTCTGTGCCTTCCTCACCCCCCGCCCCCGGGCAGATGCCAAACGCCCCCCATCAGCCGTCACACTGACCAGGAGGGGGGGTGTACATTTATTGTCCCTGATAACTGACCCTGGGCGCTGACAATGCACCTTGTCCCCAGGCCTTCGGCCCGCAAACGAGCCAGGCACCTCTGCCCTGGATGAGGGGGTTCGAGAGTGTGGAGGTTTGAGGTGGGCCCCCTTCAGTGGTTTGTCTCTGCGGGGTGGCGCTTGGAAGGGCAGCCTGGTGGGTTGTGCTTACCCTCCGGGGGGACCAGACAACCCCACTCTAGGACGCCCGAGGGGGGCATGGTGTTTCTGGGGACAGGCGGCCCCACAAGCTTCGCGTTTTTCTGGTAAATTCCGAGCTGAAAGGCAGCTGATGTCAGTGGCTGGGTGATGGAGCAGGCACCTCCCCCAGCTCTCCCACTGCTCCCAGGAGGCAGTCTCACCCGCAGGGCCACGGAGCAGCATGGCTGGGGTGGGGGCTGGGACTGTGGATCGAAGACCCAGGGACTTCCCATTGGGGGTACAGTGGGAAGGGGGGAGACTGGAAAGGGGTGCAGTGGGAGGGGTGCACCAAGCAACTTGAGCCCAAGTCTCTGCCTTGACCCTCCTCTCCTGCCCCCTCCCCCCTCCTCCTCCTCTTCCCGCTGTACCGGGGTCACCTCCGGAAAGGCACTTTACTCTCTGAGGAGTCTCAAGTCCCTCACCTAAAATGATGACCCCCTTTCCCGGATGTCCGAACCTGATGAAAGCTACAGACCTCGTCTTCGGGAAGAATAGAACGCACTTGAGTGTGTCCGCACCAGAGTTCCCAGAGAACGTCGGGGCACGCTGGGTCTCGAGCGGAAACTCTCAGGACTAGGAGACCTTCGAGGCTGCCCTGAGCCGTCCGGGCGTCTTGGCTCCCAAGGCGCTTTTGCAAAGGGCGGTCCAGCCGCCCGGGACAGCTTTTAAAGACAGGGGGAAGGTTTGGAAGATGGGCCCCCGTGGGAGGAGACAGCAGGCAGGAGGAGCCTGTGACCTCAGGGCCTTCTGGAATCTTCCCTTCCCCATGCGCTAACAGGCTGACACTCCCACAGTGAAATTTGCCTCCCTTTGTTACCAGACACTGAAAGCCAGTCAGAAGGGAAACAAACTATCTAGAAGAGGAAGAAACAAAGTAGCCCTCAGTGAGCTAATCCATTACCAGGTTAGGAAGACTCCGCCCCCCCCCAGTTGGGCTCCAAAGGGGTGCGCCAGGGTTGGGGTACATTTGGGTCTCCGGTGACAAAACTGACCCCTAGCTTTGGTCCGAGATGGGTGCGCCCACCCTCCCCCCACCACCCCTCCTTCCTCACTCTAACCCTTGACCCGGACGTGTCACGGAAGGTCGAGGATGGGGGCGGGGAAGAGGAGAGGGTTACTCAGAAAGCCACGGCAAAGCCGCTACTATGAAGCGCATCCCACCCAGCAGGGCTCACTCGGCTGCCTCGATTTCCCGTTCCGTGGAGTCAGGGCGGAAAGCTACCGTGGTTACCAAAGACAACGGCACTTTTTTAAAGGGAAGCTCGGGCGGCAGCGGCAGCAGCAGCAGGGCGCCACGGCAGTGCGCCCCCCGGCACGCAGCGCGGGACGCACCATCCGTCTGGTGCGTCTGGACCTGCTGGCGCCGGCACCTGCAAACGGCCTGAGTCACCACGTTCCACGTCTCGCTGACGCGAACGAGGCCTCCGGGGCACAAGCCAGGTCTTGCTTCTTCAGCGTCTCAGCGTCGTGCCGGGCACAGAGGGCCCGTCCGTAAACCCCTGGAGTGTGGACCGGCTGTGGCGGCCCCGGGGGACAGTCACCGCGGTGGGAGCAGTCACGGCCACGCTGACGCTTTGCGCTTGAAAAGGACTCGTTTCACAGCCGCGGATTTCCCCGACCCTCCTGGCAGCCCTCCGGAGCGACAGCGGTCTCCGCACCCTCCCCGCGGTGCCGGCCGCTGCGGGCCCTTCCGCAGGGAGCCTCCCCGGGAGCTGGGCACACGGGAGGGGGCGCGTTCTCCTCTTCCCACTCGGGCGCGCAGCCGGGAGCGGTCTCCGTTGGGAACCAGCTAAACGAGCTTCCACCGTCCGCACGGGGAAGCGTTTGGGGGTTCAGAACTGGCCCCACTCTGTGCGGGGGAAAACGGCCCCCCAACCAGCCCCAGACTCGGGGGAATCCGCGGGGCTGTTCTCGCTTCGGGCGGCGCCGTTCCCCTGGGTGTTGCAGCGTCACTCAGCTCCGGCGAGGACGCGACTCCGTGGCAGGTGCGGGCGCGCTGCTCGGACCCGCGCGGCGGTCCGGGTGCGCTGTTCACGGAGGGGAACTCCACGTCTTCGTCCAGCCGGCCAGCGGCAAACCGCGAACGCGCGATGCTGGGGAGCCACGCCCTTTTGGGGACCGTCTGTGCGCGCTCCCCTGCCTCCGGACGCCCCCTCCCCCCGCGACGGCCCCGCCCCCCCAGGACAGCCCCGGCGGGCCGGCGGGCCCAGGTCGTCCTGCCCGGGACCGCGGGTGCCAGGAACCGAGCGCTCCACGCGGCGCATCGGTTTCATCTTCTGAGCTCTCCTCAGACCCGTGGTCCTTCGTCCGGTTCGTCAGACCCCACGTCGTGACCCCAGAAGCGATGTCCTTCCTCAGCACCGACACAGACGACTTTCCACGCTCCCCCCAGGCCCGCAACTCTCTGACCCCGAACCCTGCGTTCCCCACGGCCTGGCTCCCGCCTCCCGCCGCTCACGACAGACGCCCGGGGACAGATTTTCCGATTTCTCTGTCGCCCCAGCAGCAAAAACAACAACAGAATCTGTGCGTCAGAACATTCCTCTCCTCTCCCCACCCCAGGCCCCGCATCAGAGCTGGTCTCGAACTCCCACTCCACCGCTCAGAGTCTCATGCAAAGTGCGGAGTGTCTGCCCCACCCCGCCTGGGAGACCCCAGCAGGGACCTCACAGGCTCACAGGTCCCCCCCCCCCCCCGTCCCCATGGCCGGCTGTGACACGCAGCTGAGCTTCCTGCATCACAAATCCCCAACATGCCACACGAGGAAGACGGGAGCGCAGGCATTCTTTCTCGTACCCCCAGGGTGCGGGGTCTCCCCGCAGAGGGGCGCCCTGTGGTGGCCACGGTGGCGCTGGCCGCTCGGTCCCTCCGGGCGGATTCCCCAGGCCCTTTGGGGGAAGCCAAGGTGGCCGTCCCTCTGAGGCGCCTTGTTTCCTCCGCGCAGAACAGCGTTCGGGGTTTATCTGTCCCGTCTTTGCAAAATTATTCCCACAGGTTCTGACGCAGCCCCTGGTAGGGACACCAGGCCACTGGGAAGAGGGTCTAACTGGCTCATTCACACTCCCTGGGGCTTACCCGGAGGGGCAGGACGGAAGGGGGTGGGTTGCACACTGACTGCTTCCTTAAGAAACCCCTCCATGACTTGAGCAGTCTGTCGGGAAGGGACGGCCTCTCTTCAGCTGGCGGGGGGGAGGGGGGGGAATGCAGGCCATCCACTGATGTTTCTCCCCACCCCACCCCCCGCCAATCAGTAAAAAACACCCTCAGGTGAGGTTTAAAATCAAGCAATCAATGAAAAGTTCCGGAACATATTTTGTGTCCCCAGCAAGTGGGGAGGACAGCTCCCACCCTCTCTCTCTCAACCCCGACGTGCATGATTCACATCCTCGACCAGATCCCACTTGTCTGGGTGAAGGGCCGTCCGCGCGAGGCCCTGTTAGGTCCCCGCGGGAGTCCTTGACCATGTTCACTAGGAAGAGGGGGTCCTGGTCCCAGGTCTCTTCGGGGGCGCAGAGCGGATTTCTGAACGGGCAGAGCCTTGCTCCCCTGCGAGACCACAGCGAGGGGAGCCTCACGGGACCCACCTGCGTGGGTCCTGGCATCCGGATGGAGCGTGGCCGTGTCTCGAGAAGCAAAGCCCAGAGAACGAGGACCACGGCCCAGGGTGGGGAGAGGGGTGGCCGAGAACCACGAGAGTGGGGTGTGGGCTCTCGCCGCGGGGCTTGCGGCATCTGAGCCCCGAGGTCCTCCCGGGAGACCTTCCGGCTCACCGACCGGTCGGTCTTTCCGAGGTCTCCGGACAGTCCTCACGCTCTGACGTCTACACGGGGAAGAACGTTCTCCATCAACGCACGGTGGCCCCGTGGACTGAAACCACATGAACTGCCGACCCCTGCCAGCTGCAGTTCCCCGAGAAGCCTGGGGAGGGCAGCGGAGGCTCCAGGGGCCTGGCTCACCCCGGAAGGAAGGACTGTTTGGCCCTGAAGACCCCCAGTGGTGACCCCCTCAGGAGAACTGGATCCGCCCCGGGGTGGACGGCCCACGGCCAGCCCCACCCATCGGGAGGCCCGGGGTGGACGTGATCCCGGAGGAGAGAGGAGACGCCACGGCAAACCGCTCGTGATGCTCCGACCGCGCACCGGCGTGTCACGCGTGTTCGTACAAGTCCTGACGGCGGCCCGGTCGGGGGGCCCTCCTCCTTCCCCAGACTGGGGCGCTGAGGTTAAGGGGCTGTCCCCAAACCGTTTACTCACTCGGTGGACACTCCCCGAGCTCCGGGGACTGTTCGGCTGCTGGAGACACAAGGCGGGAAAGGCGGCGGTTGGGGGTCCTCGTGGTCTTTAGCATTTTTTTCCAGCACTTTCTTGATCGTGACTCACAGGAAAAAATGCAGATTAAACGACCACACACCACGTGCATCTTACGGACACACACAGATACTGGTGTGTGAAACACAGATGTTACTCACACACCCAAGACCTTGTCCTCTGTGTGTGTGCGACAGAGTCCCCGGCGCCCTCCACCCTATTTCCTCTTTGTCAAAGCTCACGTGGCAATAACAACCCATCAAGTTGGTTTCAGGAGCCACTGACGAGTCACTCCCCGGTTTGCGACCACGGCTCTGGCTGACGGGCGCGCGGTGAACCGGTATTGACACCAATCGGTATTTCCTCGAGGCCTGGGGAGTGCCCGCTGGCGTCTCTGTCAGAGCAAAGTGTCACGGCAGGAAGACGGGAGGTGACGAGCGGCAGGAAGCTGTCCCTCCCTCTCTGTCGTAGCCTGGGCCAGGGCAGGGCGTTAATGACCACCTCCCTCGGTCCGGGTCCCGCACGGCATTCGGACTCCGCCCCTCCTGCAGAGCGGGTCCCCCGACTGCCCCCGGCAGGGGGATGGGTTCCCTGTCCCCTCACCCTCTGCTCCTCCCCCGCAGGATGACGACAGAGTACCCCGGCCACTACGGCGAGGACATGGACATGATTTCCTACGACTACGACTACTACATGCGGGGGGCGACCACCACGTTCTCTGCCGTGGACAGGTGAGCCGCCCCCGGGGCTGGGGGGCTGGGGGGCTGAGGGCCTGGGGGTCCAAGGGGCTAGGGACGAGCTCCTCGCAGGGACGGACCGCGTCTGCGGGAATCCCGGTCAGGGGGTTCACTGCCGTGGTCTCCCACGTGGTCTGGGATGAACCGGACACTGGCTGGACGGTGGGAGGCGATGGGAACCGAATGTCCTCGTAAACACGTCACCTGGAGCAGCCTGTCCTTGGACGTGAGGACGAGTCCAGCCGCTCCAGAGCGGGAAGGCCTCTACTCGGTCCCCGCCCACGAGGGGCTAAGCTCCTCCCCGCACTCCACTGCAGAAAGCCCGTTTCCTTGCCAAACTTCAGGAGGAGGGGGCAGAAACATGCGGAAGGCATCCTCACGCCCCACGGGCCCCACGCTGGGTGGTCGGAAGGGAGGCGGGGGGGGGGTGCTCGCTGGAGAGAGGAAGCAGCTTCCCCACCACGTCCAGAAGTGGCGGAGGAAAATGCTAACCCGCTAGAAAACAGCCCTAACTCCTCATCGGCTTTCTCTCACACTCAGCCGCCCAATCCCACCTTAAATAACATCAAAACGACACAATAGAAAGAGAACAGGAACGCTTCTCCCTGCTAATACAGAGAGAGGCGTGGGAAATTCAGGTGTTAAAAGGTTGAGGTCACCTACTTTTAGTCAGGGGAGAATCACTTTACCCAGCCAATGAATTCCGGAAACATTACCGATACATGTTTTACAAACAACAGAACTTACCTTAACTCATTCAAGCATGGGCATGATGAATTTGAGTGTGACTTATCTTTGGTGAAGACTTATGTTTTTAAATGAAATGACATCTGACCTAACCAAAGGGACTTATTTAATAAAGCCCACAATTTAAAAACAAAAAAAAACACAAAAAATAAATAAATAAAAATAAGCCAAAAAACAGGCACTCATTAGCTCTAGAAAGGCCTGAGCAAACAAACGCCTTTGTTTACGCACAGGACAACTCCTCCGGCTCACTCCTTCATCATTTGTATTTTAGATACATGTTGCACTAGTTTAGTTACATAGTTTCTAGAAATAGCAAAGTGAAAAAAAATGCACAGGAAAGACAGCACCTAGAATGAAAACTGGCTCCCGGAGGGAGGAAAAGCAGCAGAATAACACACACACACACACACACACACACACAAATGCACTTAAGGAAAAGAGAGAAAGGAAGGGCCCCAGAACCCAGAGACCCTGGAAGCCTGGTGACAGGGAACAGCTGTGCCGCCCCGACGGGCGACGCGGGGCAGCCACAGAGCCGGACTCGGTATTCCGACGAGGTCTCCGCGCCACCAGGAACTCTCGCCCTGTGTTCCCCGTGTAGGAAGGCAGGAAGGCCACAGGAGAGGGAGGCTGCCGTCTAAAATGACTGCGAAATAAACGTGGTCTGGCAGGTAAAACGTGCACCCGCCATCCGGGGGACGTGTTCAGTGAGGGGGGCTAACCCAGAACCTCGGAAAGCGGAGCTACTTTGTTACTCATTTGTTCAACACCACTCGGCTGCTGCCGCTAGCAGCCGGCCCCTTAGCAGCCGGCCCCTTAACGCCCCGCCACTGGGGCTGCCAGGCTATCCCCTGGGAGAAACACCGTCAGCACCGGACTCCCCGCGCGCACAGGGGGGCGGGATCTTTCCCTCCACGGGCAGGCGTAGAGGGTGCTCGGCCTGGGCACCACCGCCTGACATCTGGGGCCTGTCCCGGGCATTCCAGGGGTGCAGCAGCCCCCCGACCCCTGCGCACTATGGGGAGATGGCGCTAGCGGCCTCCCCTCCCCCACAGCGGGGACGACTGAAAACCGCAGGCGAGGAACCTCCAGGACTCCCAGCCTCACACGGCATCATCCCTCGCGGACCCGTCCTCTGAGAGCAGAGCGGGGTCAGGTGTCCCTTGAGACCCTCCCCTCTCCGAGGGGGCTCCCCACTGTTCCCCGCGGGGCCTCTCCCCACGTGTCTCTCTGCCTGACCGTGCTCTCCGACTCTCCCCACAGGGACCGCCAGTGGAAGTTCATAATGTGCCGGATGACGGACTACGACTGTGAATTCGCAAATGTTTAGGCTCTCGGCCGACCAGACCCGGGGGAAGGGGAGGGGCGGTGGGTGGGGGATGGGGGCAGGACGGCCACCTCTGCTCACATCAGCTGGGTCCAGAGAGGCTCCTGCTGCCGTCTCTTCTCTGCTTCCTAAGCCTTTCTGAGTAGCATCACACTTATAATGAAACCCACGATGAAACCGCATTTCTCACTTCCAACACGGACCACAGTTACACAGGGCTGACCACGGCTTCCCCGCATGTATGCACACGCACACGCACACGCTCACAGCCGGGCCCTGGTCGGAGCTGTCCCCGGGCGGAGGGGTGGTGGCTCTGCACATTGGAAGCCGGGGTCCTTGCCGGGGGCGGTGGGGGGGCAGACCACCCCGCAGAGGGGACAACTGTCTGGGAAGTTCGGTGCACAGCTCTGCTCTGGGAGTGCAGACCCTGGAAGGAGAACTGGAGAGTGGGAGGGTTCGGGGGTGGAACTGAAGGACGGGGGTGGACGAGTTTCTGGGGGGAAGAGGCTGTCGGGGGAGGCCAGAGGACGGGACTCAGGTTGGCCTCCCGGGAGGAAGGAGCGTTGGGAAAAGGGAACGGGTTTGAGTCGCCGGCACCTGGAGGCACGGCCAGGACCTGGGAAGCTTGGTCTCGATTTTCTGGACGGCAAAGGCTGCCCCGAGGGTCCACTCCCCTCCTCTGTGCAGTTTAGGGGGTCTTCGCAGAGGTGACACTGTCTCCCCCCCTTCAGTGTGTCTGTCCCCCAGCCCTGTGCACTGTCCCCACTATAAAAGGAATAAAAATACTAACGTTCACTACGCTGCAAACCTCGTCGTGGTTTTTTGCTCTCTACCCCTGCCCTTTCCCATCATCACTGATGCATCTTTTCAGAAAGCGGCGCCCCGCCTCGCGATGCGTGCGGAGCACTGCACGAGGCGCCAGGAACGCAACGGGGATGGTGACAGGTTGGCTGGGAAACCCCATCGGCACCGGAGACCAGCCCCGTGCCTTCCTCAGTGATTGGACTGTGATTGGACTGTGATTGGACTGTGATTGGACTGTGATTGGACTGTGATTGGACGAAGGGTCCCATAATTTCCCGCCCTTGCAGCAGCGAGCCTGATTGGTCCTCGGCGCCCTTCAGCCCGCCCCCACACCAACCTGTCACTCACACTGCTGTGACCAAAGGGAGGCCCCGTTCCCTTAGTTGACAGTTTGCCTCGAGCCCTCAGCTCTGTGCTGCCTTGCCCACCTCTCTCCCGGGGCCCAGGAGAGCAGGCGGCGGGCAAAACCAGAGGGGCCGACACGGTGCCACACGCCCCAACCAGGTGGCCAGGAGACGGTGGTCCCAGCCCAGCCCGTGGGGCGGCCTTTCCTGGGGAGGCCCCGGCCCGGGGAAGGGGAAGGGGAATGGGAGCGATGGCCGTCCTCCTCTGCCTCCCCTCCAAGGCCCTTCCTCAGATGACAGTTCTGCTGTGTTTTCCCCTCTTTGCTGTTTCCACTTCTCTCACAATTTTACTTTACGACAAGCCACGCTGTGTTCCTTTCCACAAAGGGAGCCGTTAATATTTTAGCCGCCACAGCCCCGGTTCTGCGCGGCTGCCGGGAAACGGCTTCAGCTGGGTGTGTGGAGCAGGTGCAGCGGGAAGAGGGACGGCGGCGCGAGTGGCTGACTTGGCAGCCCTGATGCAGACAAGAGGCCGGGGGAGCGAGCAGTTCTGCCCGGGACCCAGTTCCGGCGGAAAGCCGAGCGCGCGGCGGCTCCGTGGGGAGGAGGAGGAGGTGCTGTGACCAGAGCCCTTTGTGTCACCGGCCGCCCGGCACAGGAGGGTTCAACAGGTGGCGGTGCGTGTCCCCTCCCGCCTCTCCCAGACAGTCAGTCACTCAGCCACAGGGCCACGGAGACACGGACGTCCCCAGCCGCCTCCTTCCCTCACCCAGGCCCTGCTGGTCCTTCAGGCTGAGCCGGCAGCTCCCTGGGGAACCCCTCCCCACGTGCCCTCCCCTCAGGACCCCGAGTCTGCGTGCTCACGCCCCCTCTCCCGAGGGCAGGGGGCCTGTGTCTCTCGCTCGCTCGCTGGCAGATTGCCAGTGCCCAGCACGGTGTCCGTGGGCACCCAAGACACACGTTTAAAAACTAACCTGGATTTCTCACTGGCCTTCAGTTTGCATTGGGAAGACCTGTCAAAACTCTAAGCAACGAATAACTGAAAACGTGTCCCGGCACTTGGAAAATTACGGAGTGCTACCTAGAGGCAAGGCGCCCCCAGGGGGCTGCGCTCTGACGGGGGCTGACACCATCCGCTCTCATTCTCCGGTGTCATCAGGCAGCCACCCCTCACTGCGTCCTATCAGGGGCCACTCACTAACGATGGGCGAGCTGGAAGACACGCCCATCGGGTCACGGCTGCCACTCACATGTTCAGGAAGCATGTGTCACCACACTGGGCACTCGAAGGCCAGTGTCGGTGTGTCTGTGGCCTCTGGGCTGCGATGACATCGACATCTGACCAGCCCGCCCAGGACTGGGCACTTGGTGGGCGTGCAGTGGGGCCCTCCAGCTACGCCCTGGAGAGCCCGGGGGACCTCGGGGCTCGGGTTGGTAAAACACGTGTGACCCTGTGTGCACTTGGACGCTGTTTTGAAGCCTTTGAACAGCACAGACACCCCGGGGCGAGGGGGCACTCGGGCAGTGGTTTGTTTCTGCGCACTCTCTTTTCCCCTGCACAACAGATCCCCCATGAATAAACAGAAGCAGGGCGCCGCGTGAAACCCTAACACAGACGGTGACTTCATGAGTCCAGAATTCGTGACCTTTGTTTTCCCCCGCCGGCTTCCGGCTCTGCGGCCGCCGGGAGCCGTCCACGGGCCGTGGAGGGAGAGTCCGCTCTCCCCGCCCCCCCCCCCCCCGCCCCGTGAGGGGGACTGGGCAGGCTGGCCTCTTCTGTTGGCAGGCTCAGAAGTGAGCTCATGAGCCGTGACTCCTCCGAAAAATGTTCTTGGAAGTCACACACGCTCTGAGTCACCCTTGCCCGCCCCCCCCCACCCCGGGGACAGTCCAAAGTCAATGTCAGGCAGATTGGTTCCCCACCCACGGCTTCCAGGAGGGAGGGACTCAAATCTGTCGCCACAAAAGCGCACAGCTTGAGTGGGAGGACTGCCCTCCGCGGAAATGAGGCGTGAAGACGGCTCCCGCAGCTTCCCCCTTCCCCGCGGGTCTCTGCAGAGGGGAGGGGGAGATGGGGGGGGCAACTGGGCTGCCGGGGCAGGTGGTGGGAGGGGGACCCAGCCCTTCCCGGAACGCACCCCAGCATGTTCTAAGCCCAAACCGCACACGTCCGGGCCTCTGTGCACTGAATGTCACTTCCACAAGCCGTCACTACCCCCCTCGTCCGCTCCTGGCACAAACGGAAGGAGGCCAAGAAGCATAAGACACAGCCTTTCCCTCGGGGAGGTGTTTGTCCCAGATACGGAGACAAGAGCCGAAGTCTGGAACGTTCACCACCTTGAGCGAGGCTGCCGTGACCCAGCGCAGCGAGTGATGCGCGGGGGGGCCTGCGGCCGAGGCGGGAGGGTCACGGCGGGCCGGCGAAGGGGAAGTGCAAGGTGTTAGGACCCACGGGAGGAGCTCGGGCTGGGGTGGAGGAGCGGAGGGACACCCTGGGGGGTCGGGAGCCCAAGTTACATACACCCCGCTCTGGGGGCCTGGGGGGAACAGTGCCTCGCTCGAGCACAGCCCGCAGGCGAGCGGCAGAGCCAGACCCAGAGTCCCAAACCCGGGTTCTCAGCTTGAGACGGTCTCTCCCGGGTCTCGGTGCAGCGGTTCGGGGGCTGAGAGGAGGGGACACTCGGGCCCTCGCAGCCGGCGCTGCTCTGCGCTTTCCCGTGAAACCCTCGCCGCGTCCGCAGGCAGGCCGCTCGCCACCGCTTCTCAGACAGGTCTCAGACGGGTCAGTCTCAGACGGGTCAGAGGCTCCGAGACGGAAGGAGCCTGCCGCCCAGGTCACTCGGCTGCTGGAAGTGGACTCTGAACCCAAGTCCGACTGTTCTCAAAGCTCAGTTTCTCCCCGCATCGTCCGCCTGGAGTGGGGGTCGCCACCGAGAGCCAGGAGGGGGTCGGTTTCTGCAACCTGCGTTCCAGACCCGTGGCCGACGGCTGCGCAGGATGAGGAGCGACTCACAGGTGTGCTCCGCTCGGGGGCGCGTCGCCCCTGGCGGGAGAGAGACCACCCCGTACGGCGGGCCAGAGGACACTGCTGGAGGTCAGAAAGCCGGGCGAGGGGTCCGAGGGTCACAATGCTGCTGCCCGGCTCACTCACGTTCCCGTGGCCCTTACCTGTCCCATCAGCTCAGAGCAGACTCGGCCCCCTGAGCTGCGGTCACTCCCGCTGTCTGCCTTCCCAGATGAGTCCTGCGCGGCACTCCCGCAGCTCCATCAGCGCGGCCCACCCCGAGGACGCAGGAGTCGCCTCCGCCTGGTCCCCCGCCTCTGCCCCCGGAGACGGAGATGGAGACGCACAGCCGGTTCCTCTGTGCCTCCGCGGGGTGGGGGGGTGGGGGGCCTGGGCGGCCTCCCGCCTGGAAAGTCAGCGCGCCCCACAAGCCCGTCCTCGTCCCCGGCGGACCGAACCCCACACACGGCGCCCGGCCCGTTGGCGGAAACACGAGCGGCGGACGTCAGCGTGCCGGCCCCCGCGCCTCCCGGGGCTGTTCCCAGTGCAAACCAGGCCGACTGCTGGGGGCTGGGAGCTGCAGCGCACTCAACAGACACACACACGCTCCTTTCTATTAGCGCTGGCCCCCGGGTCCCAGGGGGCGGACCGTGCGTCCCAGCCCTCTCGGGTGCGCTGAGGCGCTCGCCGGCTGAGGGGGAAGCAGGCAGGCACGCGGATCCGCCGCAGCGGCAACGTGAGGCTCTTCCACGTGCAGCCGAGGTCGGGGGCCCTTGAGGGGCTGCTGCTGACGTCACGTGTGGCCTTGGCCCCCCGTGAACTGTGAACTCAGAGCAGGTCTCCGTCTCCCGAGACGGCCAGGCCTTTGATTTCCCTCGACTCTAGATACATGCACCGAAGTATGATGACGACGTGTGGTGCACACTACACATACGAGTACGGTGTATGTGGAAATATGTGCATACATGCCTGTGTATGTGTGTGTATGTATCTTATTTTTAAATTACATTTAACACAAAACACATCTGGTCCTGCTCATTTTTGAACTTCACTACGAGAGGGTATGATGACCGCACCTGCCTCACCTGGCACAACGAGGACTCGGCGCTAGGCCCCCGGAGTGGCGTCAGGACACAGGAAGCACTCGCCGCACCGGAGCGGCCACTGTTCCCGCCCTTCCTGGGTCCCGCTTCCTGGGGAGCAGGCCCTGGTCCACAGGCAGGAGGCTTGTGGGGGGCGGGCGTCCTGGGTGTGAACCTTGGGAGGGCTGCAGGAAGCGAGACGGGCGGAGAAAGGGGGTGCGGGGACAGCAGAGGCCCTAGGCAGCCTTTCGGGGGCGCTGCCTGGATGGCCTTCCGGAGCCACAGGTCGAGTCTCCGCCCCCTGCACTGTCTAAGCGCTGAGCAACAGAGCTGGACTTTGGGTTGCGGTGGGTGGCCGCGGGCGATGCCGAGACCTATTCTGATCACAGGGGCCAGGCGCAGCTGGCATTCACCGCGTGGCACCAGCCACCAGCCCGAAAGCAGCACAAGGCAAAGCTGAAGGCGTCCTCACAAAGGAAGCAGCGAGGACACCTGAGGCCCCTTCAGGGCCAGGGGGCTCCTCCCGCAAACCCACTCACGGACGGCCGTGCGCTGCCCAGGCTGCACTGACTG